GGAATAATGTTATTTAGCACCACGTCTGGATTTTTGTTTGAAAGCACTTGACAAACACTAATTGATATAACACTAAGGATTTGTCAGTTTATAAAGTGGTTCTAATCAATCTCTCCATAAAGCGATTGCTCTTCTTGTGCATTCAGGTTTCAGTTGTGGGTTCCTCGAACAGGCGAGAAGGGAGCAGAGAGGGGAGGCAGGGCGTTCCTTTCACACTCAGTTTGGCCTCCATGGGTTTCCGATGCCCTAGCAGAGCACCCTGCCCGGCAAGTACAATGCTGTAGTAAAACTGCTGGATCTGAACCAAGTCCACTCTGTGAATGTAATTCTTGTTCTTGGCAATGTTCGTGGTGGTTAGACTCCTTTATCTTGGGATGCAAGACGCTAATACAGGTGTCATAGACGTGGGTGAACCTCCAGGCTGCCTTACTTGTCTCTGTATGGTCCACCTTCGTTGGCTTGTAGCAAGAGTATCTGAGGGACATGCAGATTTGGAGGAAACATCGGAGAGTGTTTCTTTTGAGCAGAAGAATTATGGATCTAAATAACTCAACACCCACTTGCATGCAACCTCCCCTTTTTCTGTCCTTGTCATATCGGAGTCTGTTTCAAAGTCCACTTGTGTACAGGCAAGGCAGACATTTCCTGGGCCCCCTTACATCCGTGCTGTTTCCAGTGCTGTCGCTGGGTGATTTTTCCCTACCCAGAGACCGCATCTTCTTGTAAATATAGCCTGGCCTCACAGGAATCTGTTGCTTGCTCAGGTTGTCTTAACAAACATGGTACAACTGTTGCTGAGGAAGTGGATTAATTGAGTCGTTGGCAATCATTACTGTTTGGGCAACATTACTGCAAACACTGTTTCCAACAGTGTTGCCCATAGCCTCATCTCTTCTTGTTAAATGTCATGAGCAGGACATTTAAAAGGTCTTGACAGAAGGAGATGAATGTGGTTAGATAAAAAAATGGGAGCCTGACAGCCCATTCCAGTCAGAGCCCATAATTTAGAAGTGTGTCAATGGTTGCAATTTTGAGTTGGCTACAAATGATAGTAGGGAAGTAGTACAGCACGGGAAACAGGAGCTAAAAACCCAGAGCTCATCACAAGAGCTAATACTTCTAGTATTTTTGCTACTGGATTTCTGTTCTTAACTTGGAAGAGAAGGTGATGCTTAAATGATCCTTGTGCATACCTTTAGCCTGCATTTTATTGCAGTGCCTGCATGGAGGTGGCTAAGAAGCAGCAGTTCCTTACACCACGATGAAGGTATCTAAGTTTTATTTGGGACTGTGTGAAGTCTATAACTATCATATAAGCTAAGAATTAGCACCACCCCTTCAGTCTTGGACTTGAAAATATCTAAAAGCAAGACCAATACAGTATAAGAGTTGTGTTTGCAGAATTTCGTACTTTTTTCATTGCTCAGTTGTTACTGGGAGGTTGTGCAGAAGAGGTGGCTTTATAGTGTCCAAATCCCTCCTGCTTCCTGAGATACATTGGGGTTTGGATACCCAGAAGCTACTTTGTCTACAGTTTTGTGAAGGTCTATGTACGATGATCAACAGAGCAGTTAGGGTTCTGTAACGAGTAAATCTCTCTCTCTGTCTCTCAGGGAAATCTTGAGGAGGGCGTTGAATAAACAGCCATCTCGTATTAGACCAGCTGCAATTTTTTAGGCTTCTAGTTGATACTTAACAATTCAGGGGGACTGTTGCCTGGAAAGATATGAATGAACCTCTCACAGACTTCTAGGAGTCCCTGGAGTCAGTCTTATCTTGCTATGGAATAGCTTTTTATTCCTACACCGCGTGATCTCACACTGGATTTTCCCTGATAAACTCAGCATATCTATTTAATGGTCTTCATCTGTACATTAAATAAATATTTTAATTTGGGGTATACTTCTGCATATATTTATAGTAATTTGGTTTTCAAATGAATAGTTAACTGTTCTGTCTGCAAACCTAAGGAAACGTCAACCTTTGTGGGATATATGTGTACATGTTTATGCAAAATTGTGTGCATGTTTACCCAAGATTGCTGAAGGATCTCCAAGAGGTCTTGGATGAAGATGGCAGTTGTCACGTCTTCTCCTTTGGCATGATGGAGATGAAGCCCCTGTGTGGCAGACAGAGGTTTTCTCAGTCCAGGGAAGTGTGAGGTTACACAACAAACAGAAACTAAGGGTGTTAAGGAAACCCTGCTTCTCCTACTTAAATGTGTGTATGTTAAAAAAAAAAAAAAATCATCTACTCTCCCTCCTCTAGGAAACAGCCTCTGCTGTTCACATTACCCCCTCAGGTTTGAGTGTGAGAGAACAAACAGCACAACAAATCTTAGATATGATGTTTAATGTGTGGCTAGAAGGTGCTCAGATTACTGTACTGCTGAGAACAGTATGGAGGGCAATTCTGCAGATTTCTGCAAGTGCAGTATTTACAGTTCTGTGAGTTGAGCAGAGTAGAGAGGTGGTGGAAGTATAGTGAACAGTAAAAATATGAAGCTTAAAGCTTCTGGCTTTAAATATTACCTGTGCCCTTCAATTGCATTTATGCATATTTTGTTCATTTTTCTATAGAAATATAAACACTTTAAATGTTGATTATTTCAGGCAACAAAAGAAGAAGACGAACAAGAACTTACTGCAGAGGAAAGAAGGAAACTGGAAAGAAAATTAAAAAAAGAGCGCAAGAAAAAAGAAAAACAGCTGATGAGGGAAGCTGGAATCTCTACTAAAAAGGTGGAGCCCAAAAAGCAGTCGGGATCTGAGCTGGCTCTGGCCTATTTAACCAGGTAAGAATACTAAAACCACTGCAGGTGCTCCCTACAGAAGTAAGCTGTAAACCGTGCCAGAAATCCAGAACAAGCTGAACGAAGTAATAACACGTGGAAGGAAATTGCTGCAGTCAAGTACTAAGTTAATGTTCCATCTCAGTTGACACCTTAGCATACAGTTGATCACCCCATGGTATTTATATCACAGGAACAACTGAAGGGTGTTAAGTACGGTGCAAACATTTTATAGAAAGGCAGCTCCTGTCCTGAAGATCAGGGGTTAGCTGCAAAGATGAAAGGCACATTGCAGAAAAGGTTGCATAGAGGAAATTAGTTTTGTTTCTTAAGTGCGCTGTTTTAGGCGGAGGAGTTTCAGTTATTCTCTCTATATAAGCAAATTGCATGAAGTGGTTAAGTATGGAGCCTGAATTTAACCGCCTGCATGATATTTGGATATTTGTAAATTAAGATGGGATCATGCCAGTATTTTGAAGTTAATAGTGTACAATGCCTTATTTTTGCATACGGAAGTATACAGCAAGTATGGTGGCTGATTTCAGATTGGAAGCAATTACTTCATCTAGTTAGCGCGCTTTTTTAGAATACTTAAAATTCCAACATAAAGCACAGTCTATGGTTTAAATAAAGAACTATAACAAAGCATTCGTAGTACCCTACAGACAGTAAGAGGTCATGCATAAACAGGAGGATAGTGTTTATTTTTTTCCAAACTGCAAAATATGCCCTGTCTGTAAGACCTCCAGGAGACTGGTGCATTACAAATAGTGGGTTACCACATGGAATAATTCCAGGGTTGCATCTCTGGCCATGCTCAAAACTGAAGCATCCAGACTGTCTGAATTGTTACTTACCACTCTCAGTGGGGAGGGAGGAAATTAATTGCATTCCAGGCAGAGGGACTTGTGCATTTTTGTTACATAACCTTCAGCATGCAGTGATAGCAAAATGATAGTAATATTTTTTTATCTGGAAAACAGCTGGAGTAGTTCACTGTTTTGAACTGCTAACGGCTTGACAGTTAGCTTTGAACCATCTGCTCAGACTGTACTCTGGTATGTGCGCTAGTAAGTGGTGGATCTAGAGATAATGGTTTTCAGGTTTGGAAAGCAAAGGAACAAGCCGTGGGTTTTTGTTTGATATTCCACTGTTGTCTGTATGGATTTTTGCCTTGTTAGGTGAGAGAATATGAAACTACGTTTGAAGTAATATTTGAACCAATTTTACTCTAGAGTCACTTAACCTGTACCAAATTACCTTGAAACAATAAACCTGCTATGTTATTTGATCTTGTCATACGCGGAGTCCAAGGGCGGTATGTACAGCAATAGGTTGTGTGGGATTATTTCGGCAACAGACAATTTGATTTTTCTAGACTTAACAGGGATAGTCATAAGATGCTGTACTGCCAAGCAAACATAACCGTAGACAGTGTTCAAGACCCAAATGTCCCAGGACATTGCACCGTTGTAAATTACAGAAAAACAACTTAATCCTTTTACACCTCAGATGTTTTTTCAACCCAGCAAGATTGGAAAAAGAAACCACTGGATTTAAAGTAATCAGAGAAGTTATATATTAGCTGGGGAAGGGAAACTAAAATCTGAGCTCTGGAAGTCTGTTGTAAAACCTCCAGCAATTTCAGTGGGTCAAGGATTTCAGTCTATGTGTTTTTGTAGGGCTACAGGCGTGAACAATATGTGGGAGGATAAGTTAATCTTATAGATGCAAGAGATTAATATAATTGGAAGTAAACAAAAGGGTGCCGTGGATTTACGTTTTGCCCCACCTACAATAAAAAGCCTTGCATGGCATAAGGGTTGCTAAGTGAAGTGGCATCTTAATTCCCTGATGACATGTGAATGTCCTGTAGGACAGGTGGAACTCGAAGTACCATATGATAACTAAAACTGTCATTTTCATTTACTGAGAGACTATTCACAGCATGAGAGCACAACCATATGGGGCCTTAGCCTATGACAGGAAAATACTGAATTTGTTTTAGCAAAATTTTGTTTGATAACTTTAAATTAAAAATGTTAGAAAGAATTCAGTGAAAGATTTTTGTTACACGTCTAGACCTTTGACATGCAAGGGAAAATTCAACTTATTTTGTAGGTCATGCATATTTTAAGAGGTAGTAGTTCCCTCAGAGTGCAGAATCATCTTTTCTGGTATGTAGGATTCTTCACCAGGAGAAGGAATATCCGTTTCAAGCAGTAAGGTCAGGGAGAAGTAGCAAAATTTTACTTGGAGGAAATAAAACATAGTTAACTGTTACTGTTTTGGGGGGGGGGTCCGGTGCTTAGAAAGCCCTGCTTCTGCAATAGCTTTGTATGTTGCATTTAAAAAATAAAATGGAAGTAGCAGGCAGCCTACAGGCAGCACTCCTCTCTTTGCTGAGGCACGAGGTGACTCTCACAAAGATGCGCCTCATCCTTTTAGTTGAGAGGAGTTAACGAAGAGAGCACTGATGGAAGGGAGTAAGGCATGCAGCGTGCGGGGGGCCGGCCCGCTAATTGCGTAGTGCCCTTCCTGACGGCGTTGAGACCAGCACTGCAGCAATGGAACTAGATTCGGGGTGATGCTTCGCACGAAGAGCAACGCTGGACCAAGGCACGTGGCCGGCGGTGACGGGGCGGCCGCGGTGTGTCCCCGCTGCCGGGGACTGCTGGGGGGCTTCGTAAACCTCCGTACTGCTGCGTACGGTGTGCTACAAGCTGAGCAGTCCTTCCAGTTTTCCAGGTTTGTTATTAGAGTCTAAAAACAAACCATCCTTGACGCTTTGCCAGCCTCCAGAGAGGTCAAATTATTATTTTATTGGAGGACCATCCTAACAATTGAGAGAGGCTCTTTTTCCCCGTGCATATGGGGTGGCCACATGCAACTGATGCCAACTAGCAAACTGCAGTCCCTAGCTAGACCCGAGGGCACTGAAGCGTTTCCCCTGCAAGCTGGGTGGCATCTGTAGCCCAGGCTTTTCAGCTGCTTTCTCATTTGAATGAGACCAGGACAGACATTCATCAGGTTTTGCACTCCTGATAGAGGAAAAGCGGCCAAATGGCTCCTAGTTTTTTCCTCTCTCACTTTGTGTTGTCTTGTGGGAAAAGGAAAGGGGGAGAAAAAAAAATCTTTGCTTCACCATTTTTTATGTCACCTTTTCCCGTGACGAGATAAGCTCAGGCGGTTTCCCAGCACAGCTCTGTCTAAGGCAGCAATCGCAGCATGCCTGCGGAGACGGGCGAAAGCCACCACTGACAGATTCCTCGGCTTGCTGGGGGAGCAGAGAGGGAGGTCTGAAAATATAGAGAGGATTAAAAATAGGGAGCTAAAGTGAAAAGGGAAGCAGAAACGTTATGAAACTATGAGAAGGAAAAAAGAAAATGATGGAAAAAAACCAGAGCGCTACTGAACAGAAGAGAAAAAAACCTGAAAAATTACTGCAGAGGAGTAGGGAAGAGCAGGAGTAAGGAAGTATTATAAGGAAGTATAAGGAGTAAGGGTTGAATAAACTGCACAAATCTCTTCCTTTTAATGATGACAGGCCTTTCTTCTTTATGATGGTAAGTGATGATTTAGGTTTAAAGCCAAGATTAGAATGTCTCATTACTTTGCTTCTTGAAAAATATAAAATAAAAATTCATTCTTTTCTGAGCATTAAGCACCTTCAAGTGAAAAGATGTTGCAATTCATGAGAATGGTAATTAGACTTAATTATAACCTGACTGACCTTCTGTGGTGTTAAAATGTTGGCAGAACTTGTTTGTCTTGGCAAGCCACTCTCTCCTACAAGTGTTTCTGTTCTTGTGTTTGGCTTGAGAAGGTTCATTGCTACATGGATCTGCCCATATGGTTGTCTCCATCACCCGTCAAAGGAATGACAGAGATCTGAAAAGAAGTCACTAAAAGTATGTGGAATTACAAGATTGATATCATCTGAACTAGAAGTAGTAGATAATATCGTTATCTGGATATAGCTGTGGATTACCTAAGCCTTGCAATATTATCACGTGTTAAAATTTCAAAAATAAGCTTCTGGAGTACATTTCTCTCTCTAATGATTTATGTTATACTAGTAATATGTGTCACCAGAATGTTTCCCAAGGCCTTGTCTTTTCAGTTTCCTTTATAGATCTTACTTTTCTCCTCCCTAACTTAAATTTCGGTGAGATTCAAAGAATGTCAGACTTCTTTAGGGAAAAAAAAAAAAGATGCTGATAAGAATAATACAAAGCAAGGACACATTGCAGAAACACAAAAGTGAGACACAGAATTTCCCATCGAGTGGGGAAACAGTCTGACTCTGCAGAACACAAGGTGGTTTTTGCTGAGCACAGTGTCAATACTGCTGAAAGCAGTATGCAACCCAGGGTGGTTGTTTATCTGCTGTGTTTGCAGAATGGAAACATCCCAGTTCTTGGTCAAACTTTATTACAAACAGGGCCAAGCATGGGAGACTTTAAAGCTGAAACGTTGCTCTTTCTTTCAAAGAACACAGAAATCTGAGGGGCGTTGCTGTAAGTGTGCATCTCTGTATATTCATCTGTTTATTTATTTATGTATGTTTTATGTATAAAGTATATCAAGATGATATTTACTCCTGCTGGAGCAGAGGCCATCTGGAGAAGGGAATTAATAGGTAGCTTAGTGTTCATTCAGTGTTAGCATCTAGGATGTTTCTGATTTTTGAAGGAACCAGTGGAAGCTTGTCCTGGGCTGTAAAGACAGCAACATTTGAGATTTGTGGCCAAATAGCTGAGATGAAGGTGGCCCGTCAGGAAATCGCAAAACCATTCATCCTACCACATTTGGGGCCAGGTGACTATGTTGAGAGAGCTTCTGCGCAAATACAACCACACTCATTAACGTTGAAAAATAGCTTCTTAACTTACATGGAGTGGGCTTGTGTCAGATCTAGTTTGCATTGTTGATCCATAGCATTTTGAAGCTGATTTTTCTCTGACAGTTTAAGTACTTTTTTTTAGCTGTGGTCAGTGATG